GAGGTCCCATGAGAAGGGTGCAGGAATGTCCGGCTGTCATCTCTGACCCATCAAAAGACCACATGCTAGGGTGGAAGGAGGGTGAGATGTGGGTTTGCATCTCTCCCATCTGTACCATTTTTATTTGGAAGATTTACTTGTTTTCTTAAGCCTCATGACCCAGTTTGTAGAACTCCGAGTCTCTTGTGTGACTTTAGACGTGGGAATGGACAGCATGGGACATTCTGGCAGGGATGGGGGCCCTGGACTGTAGTCACCTGACAAACTTTGGAGGTATAGAATTTTCCATTCCACTCTGGGTGCAAAGAGGTGGAAGAACCCATCTTCTGGCCCCCAGGGGGAAACAGGGCCATGGTCTTTCATTTAAGCTCCGGCTACACGCAGGTGTTGCATGTGGGTAAACAGTGAGTGCCCAGAGAAGGACAGGTGACGAGCTGTGGGCTCAGGAACTCTAAGTCAACTGAGATGGAGTGGAGGTGCCTTGGCCTCTGGCATGTTGCAGTCTCCCTGTTCAGCTGCTGGAGGAGAAGGGACCATCGAGATGAAATTCAGGACAGCCACCGTGGTTGGTAGGGACAGAGAAGCACCAGACAGGCCCTGACCTCGGGGAACCTACAGCATCAAACTCCAGACAGGGGAGCAGAGGACTGTGGTTTCAAACAGGTGTGACCTGAGCACGGGCGGGGGCCTCTTGGAGGAGGAGATGTTGGGAGGGTCTTGAGGATTTGGAGGGTTTGGATTGGAGACAGGTTGGCAGTGAGAAAACGCGTACCGAGCGTGGAGACCAAGGACGCTTTAGGGACACAGCTGAGAGGCCTAGAGTACGGAGGGGCTGCCCAGAGTTGGAAGTGGGAGTGCTTGTTGTCACCGGAGTTTCCTGCTGTGAGCAGAGTGGCCTGTGGCTCCTCTCAGTCACGCATTTTATGGAGAAGGGGGCCGAGGCTGCTCTGAGCACTGCCACCCACGTCCCCACTCTCTGCACTCTGGCACTTGACTCTGCAGCGTCTGCTTCTGGATCTCTGTCCTCCAGTGGGTGCTGAAACCCTGGGCACTGGGCTGGGTCTGGCTTGCCGCACGGGCCTGGGCAACAGGGTGTGATGGAGGGAGACGCTTGAAGGAGCGCAGCCCGTGCCCTGCGTGCAGGGAACGGGTTTTGCGTGTGGTGATTGCAGACACCGTGTGCATGTTCTTCACGAAGACGCGCAGCCTCGTCTGATTTTCCCTTTTCCTCCAACCTGGCTGGGTGGGGGCTGGGACTTGGTGAGACAGTGGGGGGACTAACCTTGCTGGATTCATGTTTCTGCCGCCCTTCAGTCTCGTGAAGGGCAGGGTTGGGAGGTTGGTCTGGCAGATGGAGATGAATGATGTGGAGGAACGTGGCTGTGGCCGGGAGATACTAAAGCTGCCTGTCATTGAGGGACCTGGCGTTGGGAAGGGCACTCGGGAGTTCACTGGCTGCGGCGGACGGGACCAGGGAAGGGCCTGAGGTGACTGAGACTGCAGGAGTGGGAGGTGTGTGCCAGCCTCACTCAGTTTGCCCTTAAAAAAGTTCTTTTCTGAAACACATCTGTAGCTCATTGAGTTCCTGTCACCAGTTCTTTGTACTAAATCAGATGTACTTGGGGCAGAGGGTTAGTTGCCACACGCTTTTCCTCTGGGAAACTCTGGGAGTGGCGTTCCTGCCGCATCCAGCCTGCAGATGGTGACAAGTGTACTCTGGAGGGGAGGGAGCCCGTGGGGCTATTGCAGGGCTGGCCGGTGGCCAAGGCCCCGCTGGTGGACCTGCACCAGGGCTGAGGTGACTGAGCGGATGACAGCTGGAATTAATTGATGGCTCTGGGCAGGCAGCAGAAGTCCTTTTAAAGGCCCTTGGTAGACACTTCGTATGTAGGTGCGTGCGGACAGTGCAGGCCCAACCCAGCCCCGTGCCAGGGGTCTCGACTCCTTCTGCTTTGCTCCAGCCCTTGCGCCCGAGCGTCCACCTGTGTGGGGCACCAGCCCATCCTGAAGACCCCAAGAAACAAAAGTCACGGTGGTTTTCTTTGTTTATAAAGTATTTTTACAATCGGCTCAATTGAGGTGTGCTCTGCTTGCAGTGACGCTTGCGAGTTTTAGTGTGCGTTCGGTGGGTGCATCGTCCTGTCTCATGTGTCACAATGTGGTTGAGGGTGAGGTCAGACTGCCCTCCTGCCCCTCTGCAGCTGGCTGCCTGCTCCCAACCGGCAGTCACCCTCTGCTGCCTTGGCAGGCTCGCCTTCTTTAGGATTTCACATATATCCTCACACACTCTAGGATTTCATAGCACGTGACCTTTTGTGCACGACTTCGTTCCCCCAGCCGGGTGCCCTGTGGAGCCGTCCGCCTGACTTGCACATGTTCTTATTGCTGGACACTATTCTCGCAGACACTAGGTCGGGTATCTAACAGGTCCCTCATGTCTTCTAATCAGTTCCTTAAGTGCTGGGCTTCCCAGGTTTTGGCTGTCAGTGTTGTTTTTGCTGTGAGTGTTGAGTGCAAGTCTTTGTATCGATAGACGTTATATTTGAACTTGGGCAAGTACCTAGGAGTGGGGTGGCTGGGTGGTACCCCGAGTGTGTGAACCCCAGGAGATACTGTCATCTGGTTTCTAAAGGACCAGTTTTCATTTCACTACCAAAGTCACCAGAGCTCCAGCTCCCTCACACCCCGCCCACAGCTGGTGTGGTCGGCCACCCCGCCATCTTGGTGGGTGCCGTGGTGTCTCCCTGGGGATGTGATGTCCAGCATCTTCTCATGTTTTCCTTGGCCTTCAGACACATTCTTTGATGTCCATTCCTACACCATGGAAGTGGCTTTTGAGTCATGAAAATCATCACAGGAGTGGAGATCTAATGTGTCGAGTGGCTCTCACTGGAAAGGGCTGTCCAGAGAGGTTCAACATCGAAGTGACAGTAGTCTGAACTGAGATTTTGAAAGGTCAACTCTGTTATAAAAGAAGTTTAAAGAATCCATAGCCTGCAACTGACCTTAAAAAATTCCTCTGTAAACCAGGCACACTGCATGCCTGAAATCCCAGTGTTTCTGGAGACTGAGGAGGAGGATCAAGCGTTCAAAGCCAGCCCCAGCAACTTAGTGAGACCCTGTCTCAAAATAAAAAAGGGCTGGGGAGGTGGCCCAGTGGTTAAGTGTCATGGGGTTCAATCCCTGGTGCCCCAGAACAATCAAACCCGGCTTTATGGAGGGGGCCTCGTGTTGTCTTGGGGGGTGTTCAGTATAATGTAAGCGAACATGAGCTGAAAGAAGCACATGGTGCTGCGCGTTGGTGGCCTTTCATTCGGCAGGTGGTGTCATCAGGGATCTCAAAGTCCACTTGTGCGGAGGTGAAGGGACTTGCCCGGGATGATGTGGAAAACTCGGGGTAGGACTAATGCAGCTCCCGAGGGAGGCTCTCATGGGTTTCTTCCTCATCTTTCATATTTCCAACAATTGTTAAAAAGTTCTCAAAAAAGACTTGGACTCTGAGGCATGTGCCCCGCAGCAGTGAGATGATGGCCCCTCTGCATTCTGAACCTCGAGGGGCCACGCTGTGGGGGGCGAGGCTTTCAGATTTATTTGCTCGCCTGCTGGCAGCACAGTGGGAGTTGGGGACGCAGGAACTGGAGTTCTCCAGAAGCTCCTGGCCTGGGGTTGCTCCAGCTATTCAGCTCCAGAGTCCCATCGCCTTTAATGCCTGGTTGGTACAGACCTGAGTTTGTAGAAGGGCCAGTGTGAACCGCAGTCTGCCCAGGCTGACGGAGTCAGAGGTGCCAGGAAAAGCTCCTCTAGGGTCCCCTGCAAAACAGCAAGTTATGCTGGTGGCTCAGTTAATTCATTATCTGAGGGCCGACTCTGTTTCACGCATGGCTCTGGGACGATGAGGACAAGCACGTTAGCCTTCAGTGGGCACCAAATGTTGAATCAGCGTGTAGCTCGTGTGCCCTGCCCGCAGTGAGAGGTCAGCAGTGTGGCAGAGCCGGCTGTACGTGGAGAATCACTGTGGAACGTGTCTCGCCGTGATCATGTGGCCCGCGGCCTGACCATCCCTGTGAGCGTCAGTGCTGCTTGGAGATGAGCACTGCGGGGACTTGTCGGGTGATATTAGTGGTAGAAGTTGGGATGAATTTCTTACTATTTCAGAGCTTTTTGCTTGTGTTTCCATAAAGGGATGTCTGTGACCATCTGTTTCTGTTTATTTGTGCAAATCAGAATGGTCCCTGTGAGTCCACTGAAATAAAAGTGCAGGCCGCTGAGGTCCGTGCGGCCAATCCCAGGTGAACGGAAGAAGCAGCCCACGTTCTCACCCATGAGCTGGGAGGAGGTGCTGTTCCCATTTGAACAGTCTCATTTCAGAAATAGGAGACCTTTTAATCCATTTCACACAGAGGACTTGGCTCCAGGAAAACCCTGGCTGAATGAAGCCAGCAGGACTGTCTGCGGCCGTCTGTCCTGGTCCTTCTCAGCCCTCAATCCTGTCCATCCTGAGCTTCTACTGCAGCCCGAGTGCTGGGAGGGGCCAGCACAGCCCCCTGGCCTGACTCATTTGACCTCCCTGCCGGAGCACCTCTGGCTGGCCCTGCTAACAGCCCGTCCCTTTGTTCAGGATGTGACCACTGCACTACCTACTCCAGAGGGTCTTCCCTGAGCAGAGCCTGTCACAGGCCTGTTTGGTGGCAACTGGAGAGCGATAGTGTGGGGCTCCATTCATCCCCCCCCACATTCCACATTCCTGGAGTATTGCAGGTCACAGACGGGAGACTTGGTCCCTGCCCTGAAAGGAGCCCATTGTCTTGTCCTTGTCCTCCAGGGCTCAGTTGATGAGAAGTCTCAGTTGCCCTGGGAGCCTGTCAGTCTCTGAAAGCAGGGACTGCGTCACGTAGAGCACGAGGACTGGCCGCAGATTTTTAAAAACTGGCCCTTTCCTAGGAGGATCCTGGCTTTGTTTCCTTGGTGTGTTGTTTCTTGACTTCATAGAGGTTTACCCGGCGCAGATGAAGGAAATGGCGCGCGTGTCAGGCCAGGTGCGCGTGAGCAGGAGTTTGAGCTGAGGAGAGTGCAGGGCATCCTGGTTGTCTGTGGCTTGGAGATCTGTGCCTCGGTTCCTGTGTGGCTGTGAGGGTGCTGCCTGTGTCCCCTGCCCGTGTTGGGGTCCTGAGGGACAGCATGTGTCTGAGCGTGGTGCTGGCGGAAGCTTGTCACGCACCTGCTTGTGCTGCGAGCATGTCTGCACGCCGACTTGCGTAAGCTGTGCTCGCACACCTCACCTCTGCCCATCTGATTTGAGAAATGCAAGCCAGGGAATGCAAGGGATTCTTAGGCTCTCCTTCCTGTCATTACCAGCTGTTTATTTTTACAATTGAAACGGGTTCATAGTCCTTGTCACAGTAGTAAGAGCTAATCATTTACTGATTTTTTTTGTTTGTTTGTGTTTGTGAAGACTTTCAGGCTTGGTTTCTTCAAGAAAGAGGATCTGTTACATCACATATATTTGAATATAGTTGTACTATTTCCTCCTTGAAACTATGACTAAAGTGCAAACTTGTAAAGACAGGAGTTGGACAGAATTTTACATCCATAACCTCAGAGGACAGATGACTTGTCTAAGGCCACCACAGGAATAGGTGACAACCAGTGGTGCCCAGCATAAACCACTGTTGTGGTCCCTGTGACAAGTGGAAGCCCCCCTGTCTGGCCGCGTGGCTTGGCCGGCAGCACCTGGTGAACGGCAGCTCCCTCCGGCTGCGTGGGGAGTTGGTCTAAGTAGTCTAAGCAGGCAGCATCGCAGTCTGAGAAACAGACTGTCCTCGCCTGGCGTCTCCCATCTCGTCTTCATCGTTACCTCTCTTCCCTTCGCCCGGGAAGCCATCGCACAGCAGCGTTAAGCACAGCCTGTTTAGGGCGCTCTGCCCTTTGGGGCCAGCAGACCCCTCTCCTGTGCCTGCTGACTGTGCCTGAGTCCCACACCCTTGAATGATGTCCCCGGGGCATGCTCTCTGGGAGTGCAGTGTGCATCCTGTTGGGGACCCTGTGCCTCTCCATGGTGTCTGTAGGCC